TCCGAACCAAGACCCCTGTTACGCGCCTGGTGTTAGCGCCAATGTGTGCGCTTGTGCGGACAGAGGATGTGGCCCACTCTGAAGCTGGAAACCTTGTTTTTGCAAAATAAATTGATGCAATCTGCTATTATAGGCCTAATCAATAAATTCCTCATCAAGCGATATAACCTTAAACATTCTTGGAATTGACATAAGATAACTGATGTCGTACACACCCTTCAGTGTGAAAATGTGGCTTGCTTTGCAAACACATCTAACATCTAAGGAAAGAAGAGCTTAGATTGGTACCAGATAAAAGAATTTTGTTATCAACATTAATACATTATGCTAATTTTCATCTTTGTAAGCGCATAAGACATTGCAAATTATTTCTGTGACAGTCTTTTGAAGTGTGAATCTCCATTTTATCCCATACGTAGTCAAAATATTGGGGGGGGGGGGTGGGGATGATACAATGGACCATCCCCCCCTTGTCAAATATTGGGGTGATATATCCCCTCCATCCCCCCCGGGATCTACGCCTATGGAAGAAATGTAAGCTGAAAAGTACTGGTGAGGGTTTTTTTTAACAAACAAGCACCATAATGATGCGCTGCTGCCAAAGAAGTCAAAAGCTGGCTAAGAGGATGGAATGGGTTTAGTATAGAGTCCAAGAGTACAAAGTCATCTGAAAAAAGTTTGATGCTAGATGTGATGTTATAGCAAAGTCATTGATTGAAATCATGCAGTATGCTGTACCAGACCACATGTGAAGCTACAGTAAATATGTTGCATGACCAGTGGAATCACCAGGGAGTTACCAGAAGTTACAATCCCATTGTATCTATCTTAGAGTTAACATCTTAATGTATGCTATCTGTTGCCCGGGGCCGAACAGATTTGAAGGGCTATCAAGAAGTGTTTCCAGTGTACTGTCAACAAAACACAAAAACTGAGCCTCCGCACTGAGTCGCCAACTGGCACTGCGTCGCCAACTGGCACTGCGGCCTCTAAGAATTCGTGGCAATCCATTTTCTTAAATTAGAGGGGAAAGGTGGATTTGAAGATGTCCCAAGTAAGGACCTAGCCCTATGTGGTCGAAGTCGCATGCAAGGTTCAATTGTGATTGTGCAACCATACACAGTTAAACAACACCATAAAACAACTTGTATAACACAAAGCTGAATGTTACATGGTGTGAGAAATAAACAAAGGACAAACAGGCATTAGCTGCCCTGCTGTTTAACTTGCCAGATGGCTGACAACAACACAACAATATACCAGAACGTCCATGGCAAATGCTCGGAATTAATTTTTTAGGTCCAGATTATTCTGCACCTTCTAATGAGCGATTCATTATTTCATTAATTGATTATCGGATTAAATGGCCAGAGTTTACATTCCGTTTGAATATTACAACCAAAATTGTGATTAGCTTTTTGACTAAGGTATTCAGTTGCGAAGGATACCAAGAAGAAACAAGTTTCAGATAATGGAACACTGTTAACTAGCCAGAATTTAGAGAATTTCTTAAAAAACGTAACATCAAACATAGATTTTTGTGGTCCATCACCAAGAAAGAAATAGCACTATTAAAATGATTTAACTGAATATTTAATGAAACAATTCAAACAGCACGAATCGGTATAGGTCCAGTCAAACATGTTGTGAATGGACTTTGCTAATCAATGGGATAACAATACCATCTAAACTAATGTCTCCAGTTGAAATTGTCAGTAAGTCTAAAATGGTGTATGATAAACGAAAGTGCATGAAAGCCTGAAATTTTAGCCTGGGAGATATTTTTCAAATTAAAAAGCCTTGGAATGGATGTAAGGTTAAGAGTAAATTCGACAAAAAGTTGGTCTATAAAGTGGACTCGTGAAATGTTATGGGTAGATAACGGAAATGTTAAAACTGAGTTGATATTATCATTGCTTAACCATATTGGTATACAGCAGGGGAGGGCCAAAGGGAGTTTTTGGTTTAACACCGAGGACCGCACCTAAGCTTTGATGTTTCCTGTGCACTTCTAAAAGCCTTCATGCACTGCTTTTATATACCGCTTTATGCTCAATTTTCTAGCCAAAGATGGTTGGTGGGCCGCACACATAGGGTTTTTAATTCAGTTTCGCGGGCCTCTAAAAATTGCTGTTGGGCTTTGCCTACCTGTGGTATACAGTGTTTTATTTAATTTGTGGTTATAGTTTATTCTTTTAGAGAGGGGAAATGTGGTATTCTATACTGTAGTCCTATGTGATGATTCCGACATTGAAGAAGCGCTACCCTGCATATAAACTTGATTTTAAAGCTGTTCTCTGGGCTGCAACTGTCAAGATACTATGTCTGTAGAATTTGTGATTAATTCGTTTATAGCGCCATCTATATTATTGGAATGTTGGTAATATTATAGCCTGCTTGGATGGACTATATTTGGAGGAGGCAATGGATCCAAACTGGATAAAACAGTTATGAATTTTCAAGTTAAGACCGCTGTTGTTCTGACTGACTTTTAAACAGTGGAGGCCATGGGAGTGGATGTGCCTTCTTGTCAATGTAAAGCTGAAATGAAAGCAAAGGAACAGGTAGAAGCGAAGCCGATAGAGGAGTCGTGTGTAAAGGACGACAATCAATGGACTGTTCCTTATCAGTGGATGAAGGAGCCTAGCAAACTAGTAGATAACCGAAAACCAGTAGAGAAAATGTTAATCAGACTGAAAAAATGATGGAAGAAAAATATGATCCAGGCTGATGCGTAACAGTAACAGATGAAGGAACTTGTTGAATTGGGCTTCGCTCAAAAATTAGACCCTACTGAAAACAAAAGACCCAAAATCTACAGCACTTCTTACAGGTAGCATGGCATTTCGTCCCCTAGAGTTGGTCTGTTTAGACCTTCTTAGTCTTGAAGATTCATCCGGAGGAATAGAGTATTTTCTCGTCATCACCTACCACTTCAACGTTATGCCCAGGCATATCCTACAAAAGACTAGACTGCAGTATCCTGCCTGGGTGTTGTGTATTGTTCAGTATGGTACCCCTGAACGTACTGTATATAGTGTACAGTGATCAGGGGAAATGGTTTGAAGCGGATGTACCACTTCTTCCAACACTTAGGGAAACAGTATGACTGAACGGTTTAATTCCAGCCTCTTGAATATGCTGGAAACTCTACCTCACCAAAAGCCAAGATGGACAGATCATGTCGAGAAACTAACACATGCTTATAATTCTATGGGATTCACTCAATTTTGAAGTATTTTTATGTGTGAGCCAAGGGTACAGGTACCTGTAGACTTGTGTTCCAACTAGAGATGGACCAAGATAATAGTGATGATGCAAATGAAGCAGAAACATTAAAAAGGTAACAGATCTACAGCTGCTGCTACCACAGAACAATCAGCAAGCATCTTACTGCATTTGCACGATCAACATCATTCTGATGAAGTGCGTTTACCATTTTGATTATATAAATGAACCTTTTCATTTCATTATAGTACCGTAATCTTCTTTATTTCTTTTAAATTAATTCCCAATTACAGAATTAAATGAAACAGTTGATACAAAGGCGTAAATTTACAAATTATATTACAGTAGTACCAGATTATGGTCAAGTGTACATACAATTCTGAAACCTTCACACATTTCAAACTAAGCTGGTGTATTGCTTATGGCATGTCATATAGACTATAGGACTTCTTTAGCACAAGAACTTGGCAAAAAAAAATAGCTGTCTTCAAAGCAATTATAAAGGCTACACAATTTGTTAACAGTGAATTGGCATAGTTGAGGCTGGTCCCAAATGATCAGCTTCCGCTTGTTCACCCTTATTGAATATGGTTCAAATAAATAAATAAAAAACAGGTTCAATGCTCATAATTCCCCAATTTTATGGTCTGTTTTATGTTAATGTATATAAAAGCATACCTTAATAAAGTATGCATAAATTTCTTCCACACCAAATCATGAACAATGAATTAATAACGTACTGAAGATCAAGTAATTTCATCAGTTAATTTCATGATAAATTAGACATTAAAAAACACAGAGATTGATGGGCACATCGAGGAATAACTGAATTTGGTAAATACTTCCAACTGCCTGACTTTGGATCCAAGATGTCTATTGTATTCACAACCTCCACATCCACAATATCTCCTTTCAGACCACCTATCAATGCTATGCACCTCTGGTATCTACACAATGAAAACATCACCTGTTTTCCTTCACATGTCAATAATTCTTGCCATGAACGTTTGTTTGGGTTGTAGAAAAGAACATGGATTTCTGGATTAGAATACAATACATAAACCTTGCCTTCCAGTGAAAGGCAAGACACATCTTTGATACTGATCGTACAAGGCAATGGATTGATCATCATCCAGCGGTCAGTTGAAGGATCATACCTCTGAACCATGGTTTCTGCTTTGCTACTCGAGCTGTGACCACCAATCACAAATATTTTGCGGTTACACTCTGCAGCAACACAAGAATCAACAAGGTTGGGTAACTGGGCAACCTCGTCCCATGTGTTAGTCTGACAGTTGTATCTTTCTACTTTGCTTATTCTCCTTTGATTGATATCATATCCTCCAATGATATACACAAATCCTTCAAGGTAGGCGAGTCCAAATTCGAACCGAAACTTCAGTGGTGATGCCTGAATATTTTTCCAGGTTCTTTCCTTTAAGTTATAAATCCAGCGATTTGATGACATTTGACTTGGGATCATACGAATAGCTGGCTTGTGCTGGCTAATAAAAATGGAATCCTCCAATGCTGTAGCAATGAGATCCAAGTCATGTAACTGGAGTGGTAACTTCTCTTCAAGCTTCCAACCATCCATTGAAAGGTGAATCTCATTGCTAGATAAAATGTTGTTTTGGAAATTTTGGTCACCATCTTTACCTCCAATAATAAAGATCTTCTCCCGATATGGTCTTGCTTGATAACAGAGAAATTCATCCTGTACTTCAATTTGCTTATCTGGACAAAGATTCCAAAACCCCATTGCCTTGCTGATCACATCCCGACACTGAGGGCTTCCTTCGATTAAATGATGCTGGAGTACCGAGTTTAGCAAATACTGCTCCTTCATATGTACAAGACGTATCTCTTTAAGAAGCTCATGCAAATATTTCTGCCGTGTATCAGTGTCATGTTCTACCCATTTAATCAGCCCTTCAAATATTTGATTCTCACTTATAACTACTACCTCTTTCCTTAACAGCTCTATAACTTGTTCCTTTGAAAGTCGAAGAAAATCATCCTCTTGTAAAACATCAGCAAATGACTGCAAAACTACTTCCAATGTTTTAACTTGTAACTCAGACATGGAATGCATAATTGCAAGTTTGTGAACACCTAAGCAGTTACTGACATCAAGATTTTGGATGAAATACTCAGAACAGCATTCTTGCAGTTTAATAAGTTGCAGTAGGCAGGCAGCTTCAAAAACAGACTGAACATTTTCAGGACTCAAATTGATCATTCCTGTGTATATATAATCAATAACCACTGACATAGTGCCTGCATCAATATTCGATATATGTATCACATTTTCATGTCTTTCTCTCATGTTGCTTGTGAACATAGCATAAAAATAATTAGATGATGCAGCGAGGACATTGCGATGACAAGGTATCTGGTCTTGTCCTGCTTCTAAAAAAATGTCTGTCATAATGCCATTCCTTCGAAAGTCATTAAGTTTGTTCAGGGTAGCTTTTGGAAGTGAAGCTACTTCAAACAGGTTTTTGTCACTGTTCCCCGACATTTCAGATGTAAAGCTTCCAAATATATCTCAAGCCTGTAAAGAAGACAACTTTATTAGTGAATTAAAAACTACTATTAATAGAAATTATTATAGAAAAACAATATGTATAATGTTATATAAATAAGGAGTACTGTAGGGACAAAAATATGTTTCAGCAAACATTACAAGCCACATTATGTTAAAAAAAAACAGGAGTTAATACAAACTGGGAATCTGTTATGATGGCCGCACCCTACCTGAAGGCAGAAACGATAGCAAAATACACTGTTTGGGTTATCTTTATTTTTGTTGTGCCAAAAATATGAAAGCTACATGAATGAAACTCCTATATAACATAGTTACAAATATTAGGAATTGACAACAAATATAAAAAAACAAATTCTCCAAAATACGAAAGCATGTGTACACGTTTTCCGCACAGATTTTGCCGAAAGCTAGGCTAAATCTTAATATACTGTATAACCAATGCAATTATGTAGCAAATATTTTAAATCTGCAGTGGCGGATCCAGGGGGGGTTCAGACGAACCCCCCCCCCTCAGTGAAGAAACGTAACAAAATACTACTGGATTATGGCTTACAAAAGGCACGCTAACCTACTACTGTACTGTATCCAGGCATAGGTTGGCATATCAAACAAACTAGGCTTCAATTATAAAATTATACCCACTGTTTTTTGTTCGACATTGTAATAATTTATGTACAAAAGTGTGTTCTTCAGGCCTATCAGTTCATCGATCCATGGAAGAAAGACTATGTACCCAAATACTCAATATTGTTGGAATATAATAATTGCGTATGTTTTTGATTTCTTTTCTCTATGTATAGGCCTAAAGAATGAGATAAACTTACCTGACCTTTTTCAAGTGGGGGAAAACCTTTATTGAATTTTGAAGAACTAAAGGTCATTAAAAGACTCCTCAGAAGTTGGGAAAGCTCTTTCCGGCCATCTTGGAATCTAAATTTCTCCGGAAGAGGACCCCCTTTCAGTTTGGGGTTTTTTGGAAACATTTCGAACCCCATTCTTTCAAATCCTGGATCCGTGGGATCGTGTGGGAGGGGGATTATGTGTGTTCTGGTGGTGGGGTTGAGTTAACTTAATGCAGACGAAATCCACTTGAAATAAAATCTCTTTTTGTAAATTTAGTGGCCCTGAAGAGAGCCGTTTCAAGGTTTGAAAAATGAACATCAGCTATTTTAAGTCTATGAGATGTGCTTTTGCTGTAATGATGATGTTCTCATCAATGATGCTTGATCTCTCCATCGTCTAACCTGGAAAAGATGCAGTGGGTCGACGTTGCCCAGTTGCGGAAGACACAGACAAATTACATTGTGGGTGGGGTTATTAATCTTGAATCTCGCCAAAACTTGAAACGTTACACAGGTTTTATCATTGAAATTGTATGAGTAATCTTTCCGGTTTATGTAAATAACACCTTTTAGACTTGGCATTAACATTATATTTAATAACAAACGTTCACAAAATATGAAGTTTTTATGACGTCATCACCTTGATTTTACGTTTGTAAAATCAGAAATTTGTTAAATCAGGGTTCATAATTGAGGGTTTCTACTGTATTTACAACTGAAAGTATGTTTGTTAGGAATCACAGATTTTTTTTGTTTTTTTTTTAGGATGCATATTTCTGCTATCCACGATCGAAAACAGAAAGCCAAACCAACTTACCCATATTGTGTTCAAATGTATAATAACAAAACCAATCCTACTTTAAGTACCGTACATTAGTCTTAGATGATGAATATTAGCGAGAGAGTATATATATTTTTTATTATAGGCAATACTACATTTATGCGTGAGATTTTGGTCCTTAAGCGTGAGAGCTCGAGGCAGACCTCGAATGCATGCACGAGTCTCACACGAAAGCGTGAACCTTGACGTGTATGCCCATCGTGTGTATGAGTTTGCCAAAGTGTGTACGAGTTGGCATTGTGTACGAGTTAGTATGATGTGCTCCATAATTTTACATGAGATGCACGTGAGACTGACAGGATGGTAGTTTATTGGTTGTGATTTGGAGCCTTTCTTATAAATTCCAGAAACTAACGCTTTTTTCCCAGTATCCAGGAAGAATTTCTGTGTAGTATGATTGCTTGAGTATAAAATGCAATATTGGATCAATTTCAGATGCGTATTCTTGTAAGAATCGTGCGGGTTGTTGCATTTCTGTTGTTTGAGCTGGGTAATTACACCATTTAAACCTATGTCCAAGTCTGGTATATCTTGGTATGGTGAGTTTCCCAAATCTGTTATGTTTCCAGCATTTTCTTCTGTGAAAACAGATGAAAACTGATCATTTAGAGATTGTGCAATCTTCTTGTCTGTAGTATATATTTTGTTGTTTACAGTCAGCGGTGGTATACCTAGTGATTCTCTCCTTAGTGAATGTCTATAGGTCCAAAATCTTTTAGGGTTGGAATCAAGACTGGGGCCCAGAACATTTGCCTTGTAATCTTCATGGCTATCACAAAGGAGGTTTGTAACATAACTTCTCTGTTTCTTATATTGTCGCTCACATCACAAAGAAACACAATTAAATTCAATTGTGTTAGTTCGTGAAATCAAAAAAGCGCGTCAAAATACGCGCTGTTGTCGTTAAGGACTTTTTGTGTGGTAAGGAATACAAAATTGCTTGACAACCAATACACGCTCGTTTTGACGCGCTACTGTGATTTCACGAATTAACACAATCTACTTTGATTGTGAGCGACGATATGCCCTCCAGATCTTTGTTTTCCGATTTGATTCAGCCCTTTTTGATTTTCTGTAAAGTTTATCTCCCTTTTTCATATGGCGAATGATGGTTTTATTTATCCAAGGATAGGACTGATTGCTTTTCGATGATTTTGATGGTATAAATTTTTCCATGTGTTTGTTGACCATATCCTTGAACGTATTCCAATTTTCTTCAACTGATTTACTTTCCGGATTGCTATTTAGAAAAGCATTAGTTTCCTTTGTTAATGAATCCTTCAGTGGGGCAGTATCTGCTTTTTGATAGATGTATATCTTTCTCTTAGGTTTGCATTTAGCTTTGGGTGATACATTTATGTCACATGTGACTATATCATGGTCAGAGATACCGGGATGGGTGCGTATATTTGACACAGTGTTTGAGTTATTTGTGAAGATAAGGTTAAGCACATTTTGAGATGCTGGTCTTGTAACTTCTACCACATGTTGTATAAGACCCAGTTCACGATCATTTGTTAGGGGCCTATACTTACTCTTATTATTAATAATATTATTAGGCCTCCGGTAGGCTCTCACCGCTTAGAAGGCTAGCCTGGCCTAGCCCAGGCCAGGTGTAGGCCTCCATAGGCATAGGCCTAGCTAGGACCGATTGCAGGGCAGGCCGACTAGGCCTGGGCTAGCTGCCTCTGTGCCTGTGCATGCACTAATAAAATAAAACCGCATCTACTACTAGTACTATAGGCCTATGTCTACCGTCTCAACATCTTCCATCTGAACAACTTACATTAATACATAGATAGGCTAGGCCTGGGCCTATATAGCACTGATATTCTCTACAACCAAAATACAACCACCTGAGAACTGCCTGGTACAGTATTATGATTATTTATTTTAAAATTAATTTTAAAAATTTAAAAAGGATCGATTTAAAAAGCATTAGATCCCCTCTTACCCTCGGTGGCGGTGGTGCAACAACAGCGCCTGGAGAGCGCGACCGGCCGGATGCGACTGTATGCAAAAAAGATACTAGACTAGATACATAGAGCAAAGATACTAGAAATACAAGATAGAGTTCTCGCATTGTAAAAATGAGGCGGAAGTCGTGCCCAACGTAGGCGGCGCCCTTCTTTTTAACCATGCAAGTTTCCTATACTTCGTGCCCAACGTACAGGGCGCCCTTCTGTTGCTAAGTATATCCAAACGCAAAAGGCGCCTTTCCTTTTCCACTAATGGAGGTAAACTTTTTCACTAAGAGTGCGTCCGGCCATGCGATTCTGCGCTGTATTGTTGTTTTATTCTTTACTGATTCATGATTATGCTTTAATTGTTTTTTGTATTATTTGGATAATAGCAACGATTTCTACCGCCACCAAGGAGGTTATGTATTCACCGATGTCACTGTCTGGGTGCTGTCTCTTATACACATCTAGATGTGGATAAGAGACAGGCAGTAGTATAACACATGAAGAAACCTTGAAAATATTATGTACAGGAATCTTAATGAGATTTGAAAGATTGATCCGCACGTCACTTTTGGTTGTTTGTCTTTGATAGTACTCGATGTTTTGAAGTCTCTACAACCTTTTCTTATTCTAACTATACCTAGCTCTTTGAAGATGACCAGCATATTTTATTTCATAAATTAAAGTTTACGAAGTCATAGGCCTAGAGGCCTAGATACAATTAGAAAACTTTTATGTTATTAATATTTTTATCATTCATTTACAGGCGAAAATTATATTTTCGCCGACGACAAACCTACTCTGTCTGTACAACCAACATTTCTCCTCTGCAGTGTTGACTCTTCTCTTAGGAGCATCATGCTATAGAGTAGGCTGCTAGCAACTAGGCATAGGCCTAGATGATAGACTTTTAAAACAAAATGATAATCGTAACTAGAAAAAAAATAAAGAATCGTCCTCACTTTATCTTCTCGAAATAATTCAGCACGTCACTGATTAATTAATTCCAAAGTTAGGTAAATATGATTATACAGTATATGATATTTACAATGATATGTTAAAATCCCATAATTGAATTGTCCTCATGAACAGAATAATAAAAGAAGGTTTATGCAGCATCAGTGTTTTATAAAATGTTATAAAGCTATACGCGCGCACGCTGTTTGGTGACAACATGGCGCCCATGCGCCAAGTTGGCCAAACTCTCTCTATCTACGGCTCTGCATGCGACGGAAAAAACGCGCCCTCACAATTCCGAAACCCAAAGGCCAATGCTTTTCCTTTTCATTGCTTTTTATCTTGTATATTGTGTTTTTGTGTCATATTATTGCAAATTAAAAAAAACAAACAAACAAATAAATAATAATAATAAATTACTTTTATTAATTTTAGATAAATCTCGGATATTAAAATCAATTCAAAATTTCGAATTACTAAATTGAAAATATTGGATTAAAGTGGAGTGAACCGAATCAGGAAAACAGAAAAGATCGTTGTGTAGAATTAATATCAAATATGGGTAAACAATGGTTAGCAGAGCTGTCTTGGAAGCTGATCTCGAAAACTGTAAGAAGAACTCAATAATTGTTTTAAAAACATTTTCAATGAAGATGAAAATAAAACAGCTTGAATTAAATAAAGGATATTGACAATATTGAGTTTTCACAGAGTGTTTATTTGAAACTCCAAAGTTGTGATTCTAAAAGTTGTCCAGATGAAATTCACCTGAAATTTCTTTATAAGTGTTTAGAAGGTC